AAGTTTAAGTTTCACAACACAAACAACAAAACCGTTGGTAACAAATATATATACGAAATATAAGTGTACAGAATATCGGAGTATAGCAGTGAAAGGCATTACAATTGATTTTCTTGACATCTATTTCATGTACGCGAGAGAGAGAGAGAGAGAGAGAGAGAGAGAGAGCGCGAGAGAGTCGACCACTTTTGTGAATTTGATTTTATACGTCACCCCCAAGAGTTGGCCCCCATTTTCGAGAGACTTTACAAAAATTGATTTCAATCTAAAACTAAATAAAAAAAGCTTCCTTACTATTTATATACATAATGTGAGACTCCACTGACACTATATTATGTGTGCGGGAAATTTAATCACAGAATATTTGTAACCTTTTAGTTCACATTTATATTGTGTTTACGAAATACAATAGAAAAAACACACGAATACAAGAATATTCTGTGTGTTTGCCATTAAGAGGCGAGTCTTTAAAAATTAATTATTTATGTTTACAGTAATAGCGAGTGAGAGAGAAATTTGAGTTTATTTATTATTATGTCGATTACTGGGTGATTGGTATAAATATAAGTGCAATACTCATAATTGGTACACAATTCTGTGTACAGAATATTCTTGTTATATAAGTGTTATATCCATGGCAGTGATTGTATTAATACAACTCGTGTCTCAGTCATGTCTCACTTCATTTATGGGCACATTTTTGTATAATTTATTGATTTTGAGATTAGTCTGGAATAGTACTGGGATTGTATGCGGAGATAACGGTGTGAAACCCTAAGCTCTGGTAGTTTTGTATGCATATGATTATCGCACACACCGTTAGTATCGGTCAGACCTTTAGGCTCATAAAACCGGAGATTTTTATGATACGTCTGAGACATTAATTTAATCATCAAAACATGTGTGTGTGTGTGTGTGTGTGTGTGTGTGTGAGAGAGAGAGAGAGAGAGAGAGAGAGAGTCTAAAAACATAGGCTTTACTTACAAAAAATAAATTTTTTGTAAAAGCCTTAAATCTAATGCAAAATAAAGTTAATGTCATATAAAAATGTTTAAAATATTCAAATTTAAAGCAATAAATGTAATACTATTTTAGGCATCTAAATATTTATGACATATTTGACTAACATACCATTCCCTCTAACCACCACCCGGTGCTATATAGCGGTCGCTTTGGGTTCAACGTAAGCAAATTCCTGATGATTAATCTGGCGATCGCGGACCTCATGATGGGTAAGAGCTACCGTTCCCCTCATCACTTTATGTGTCACTTAAAACAAGACAATCACTAATAATATTCTTATTCCGGTTGACATATCCCTGCGCTCTCAGGCATATACCTACTGATCATAGCGGTGGTGGACGTGCATACAGTGGGCCAGTATTTCAATTACGCCATTGATTGGCAACACGGTATGTATGGGCGCATCTCCCTGGAGAGCACCGGTAGCCCGACTGCTAGTTATGTAATCATAATAAGCAATAAATGGCTAATCATTTCGCATTTGATAGACAAGTAATATATTAATCGTTAAATAGTTTGTCACGCATTCATGCATTGATTTAACACACGAATTGAGTTTTATGTGTAAATATGTCAGCAATTTGTTTGTCATTATACGGTATGAAAGCGCCGGTACTTTCATGTCTACCCACCCAATGTTTACCGTCGGATTGAGTTGAACGACTAGTTTAGAGAGAGATAGGGATTAATGTAATGAATGCCTGAATGCCACCTAAATAAGTGAATAGCATGGCACAGGTATGTGTGTGTGTACGAGAATAACTTAATTGATAGGATTCCCAATTGGTTGGGCACCAGGGTAATCAAATTCTGATAGGAATGTGTCTGTGCGCTATGTACCAAAATAAAGTGCATTACTAATTAATAGTTGTTTTTTGTTTTTATTTCAAGTATATTATAGCAAAAGGACTTTTTAAAGGGCTTTTACACTTGTTTTATACAGCGCTGTTTGTACCCGGGTACTTTTTAATGTCCGTATACAGTGTATACTATACACACGCACTCTTAAAAGTCCTAGTAATACACAATCTTTAAGTACTCATTTAATATACTTTTATATAATTTAATAAATGAGTCATTTATAGCCCTTTTTACACACTTTTAATACCGGTATTTACAGTTGTATTTATAAGCACTCTTATAATTTACTTAAAACTATACAAGTATTTGACTCAACACTTCATATATCAACTAATATTTTATATAAAATGCAGTATTACAGTTTTAAAAATATCATTTTTATATTCATAAACTTAAATTCTTGTGGTTTTAATTTACTGCATAAACAACTATAGAGTATAAAATATTAATAAATATGCAAACACAAACTCACATAATTATATTAAAATTAATTAACTAAAATTTTAGTATGCTTAAAAATGAATTCCAACAAAAAAATCTATACCTGTATAAAAGTTCCTACATACATAAACAAGAATCACTATAATTTTAGTCTAATATATTGTACATTTCATGGGACGGGACAGGTATAGGCTGTAAGATCGCGGGCTTCATAACGGTGTTCGCGTCCGAACTGTCCATCTTTACGCTGACTGTCATAACCCTCGAGCGATGGTTTGCCATCACATTCGCCATACAATTAAATAAACGGCTGAAGTTGGGGCTGGCCGTCAAAGTGATGATAGGGGGCTGGCTGTACGCCCTGCTCATGGCCTCACTGCCGCTCGTGGGCATCAGCACCTACTCCAAGACCAGCATATGCCTGCCCATGGAGAACAAACAGGGTGGCGATGTCGCCTATTTGATCGCCTTGCTCACCATTAATGGGTTGGCGTTTGTGCTCATATGTGCCTGTTATGCCAAGGTTTGTTCGCTAATTTTACTAGCTAACTGTCCATTTGAACTATGCTAACTGTGCTGTACATGCAGTAGACTTTTGTATAATTAAAGAAATTGTTTGTTATGTAGAATATTCTTTATACAGAATTAATGATAGAATAATGTAGTATTAAGTTTAGTCTACAAAGTTCAACAAATTATGGTTTATTATACCGAGAGTTCATTGTAACCGGAAATCTATACAAATCGCGAATCCATTGCATATACAATACATGTTATTCAACGTCTAATACATCCGATTAGACCAGAAATCACTACATTCTGCACTCATTGATCACACAATTGAATGCCTGTCCCCATCCCATCCCTGTCCCCCACACACAGATGTACTGCTCGATCATCAGCCAACAGACGAGGGCCACAGTGAACGACATGACAATCGCCAAACGGATGGCACTACTCGTGTTCACGGACTTTGTCTGTTGGGCGCCGATAGCTTTTTTCGGGCTGACAGCGATCGCCGGATTTCCCCTCATCGACGTGCCAAAGAGCAAGTTCCTTTTAGTCACGTTCTACCCGTTGAACTCCTGCGCCAACCCGTTCCTGTACGCCATACTCACCAAACAATACCGGCGCGACTTCTTCATACTGGTCTCCCGGTACGGCTTCTGCACCAAAAGGGCGATGAAGTATAAAAACGCCTCAAGTCATGGCCAGATCCGGGTGCAGACAATCCGCAGCAATAATGGTAATGGTAAGTAAGGGCTGGCCTATAGATTCCGGTGCTATAAAGGAATATTCTGTGATTTTTTCCCCGGGGGTTATTATAGTCATAACGGCGTCAATATTGAGTCAAGCGTCGTGTGAGGGACACCATCATCATCACCATAACCACGTCCATGGGGGACACCATCACCACTCGAAACACCATTATAATTATGTGTGCAGTCGCGGGCACCGACACCACCACTGCTGCCCCATCGCCAGCGATGATAACTCCGGGCGCAGCGTCCAGAGTGTGATATATCCCGACTGTTCCAGCGGTCGCTCCAATAATAGCCACTCCAACGACTCGACCCACGAGATCGTGAGGATCACCCATAAGAGCAACGGTCTGTCCAATAGTGACTCGTCGTCCAAGAATAAGAAGAATAATAAAAAGGATAATAAGCGAAGAAAGCATTCGTTGGTATGTATGTAGTGTCTAAGCGTTGATTATTTCACATCCCTGTGCCGATCGATTAGCCCATAGACTATAACCCATTGTTCACGAGAGCTATGCATCCATTCCGTGCGGATTCTGTGTATATATTCTGTATATTCTGGGCTCTGTTTTTGTATTGATCTGACAATTAATATGAATTAGTTTTCTGATCACAAACTCCGGGCTCTCTCTCTCTCTCTCTCTCTCTCTCTCTCTCTCCGCACACTATTCTGTTGAGTTTAAATCTTATTAAATGATTTTACTCTTACGGATCGATAAATAGATAAAAACTTTTTTCGTTCGTGTTTTTGATTCTGTATTTAATTAAAAAAGTTTTTTTTGACAAATCCTAACAAACAATTGATTTTGTGATGAGTTTTTGTTATTATTAACTGTTTTTCCGTTGAAATCCTTTTATACTAATATAAATTATAGCTGTAATGTATATATTTTTATAGCAATTGTAGCTTAAAATCGAGTGCTTTTGCGAGAGAGAGAGAGAGAGAGAGAGAGAGAGAGAGTTGTTTAGCTACTTTGCATACGAAACCAACGATTTATTCAAACGTTAAATTGGTTTTAGACTTGTTTTTCGCACCAAACAATCCGCGCAACCATTTGTATCCATTAAACCACACAAAAACTAATTACTATTATCTCTGTCTCTCACCACTTAAAAACCCCAGGAATTCATGTCCTCGGAGGACGACGAGAGCACCAGTAGTGCGCAGCACAGGTCCACCTCATCTCCATATCCCCACCGCCGGAGCGACACTAAACTCAACCGATTGCCGAGCGTTGAGCAGAAGGAAATCCTGGCCCGAGTGCTGCAAAAGGACGGCAACAACGGCACCCGTAGCCACAAAAACAACAGGTGCTGCCTGAGCACCTGTACCCTCTCGAAGTCCAGTATGTGCGGCTCGCGGCTCAAGATGTGCTCCAATTGCGTCCAAAGGGACAGTTCGTCGGGCGAGAAGTCGGTTGTGGACTACGACTCGCAGCTGTTGCGGTGGACCACGAAAACTACCGGCGCTACGACCGTATCCGGCGGTACGATAGGGTCGGGCAAGTCGTGCCCCCTGTGCTGTTCGGCGCCGGCCGTCAATACATGTACCCCTCTGTGCGCTACCGACGCCCCACTGGCCTTCAGCTGCGAAAACGCCAGTTATGTAGTGAGCAGTCATTCCAATAGCGTTAATGAAGACACAGAGATCTAGTCATCTGAAGATTGTCTCATGTCTTAAGTCGTTGTCAACCACTTCCAGCCATCGCTTTAGCCATTCCTCTGGAGTTTTAATGTATTTTTGTTATTAGTTTTTGTTATTAACGTTATTTTGTTTAAGAATTGTTACGATTATTCATAAATCATTGCATTTTTATGTTTGTTATACAAAATTTTAATGATAAATACAAATGTTTGGTTTAATTTGTTGATCATTTCTGATGCCATAAATG